CGGCGGGCCCGGGGAGCCACAAACACCCCCCAGGGCCCGCCGGCATTTCCCACCTTCCTCCCGTTCCACTACTTTTGGAACCCCATTTACTGGAATTCTTAACCAAATCTCTATTAATATCAAACTGTTCTTTATTACTCTTTAAAACCTTTTTGGTGGGAACGGAAGGAAGGTAAACGTCACTCAGCTGCTTCATTTTGCCGGAGCAGCTGACTTGATGGGACTTTGTGCCCGACCCTACTGAGTGCTCCGAGTATCAGGAACAACCTTAAACCCAGGGACGGCGGCGGCTGCCCCGGGCGGTAACGGAAATCCAACCACTTCCCTACTTTGCACACCCAACGTCCGCCCGCCGTGCGAGGAGCCGGGTGATGTTTCTAACTAATGGAGCGCGGAGTTCGACACTGAGTAAGAACTAGAGTTTCTCAAGGCTAATTTGGTTGGTTTAAGTTACCAAAATTATCCAGCAAATACGACTCCTTCCAGGCATGAAACTACCACAGTGCCCCAGAGCGTTTCTCCACGGACAACGAGGGCCCTAATTTCTCTTAGTAACACTAAAGCAACCTGATCGAGTTGGAGATATCCCTGTTCCTTGCAGGGGGGTTGGACTAGATGACCTTTGAAGGTCCCTTCCAGCCCTAACCATTCTATGATTCTATGATTCTAACACCCAAACTCAAGGCTCCCTGCAGGCTTGAGAGGCTGCAACAGCAGAAACAAAAGCATGAAACCATGAAAGGAACGCGAGCAACAAGCTCAAATATAAATGCCACATATGTGCAAGCAGGGCCACTTAAGACTTTATCCTACTGGCAGTTCTTCTCCAGCACCCTTATCCTACAAACAGCCTGACTTAACAGGTCCATGGGCCACTCTTCTGCCCATCACCAGCCTGCCGACCACCTCTCCACCTGTGTCACACGAAGTGCGTGTGCAATAAAGTGAAAGAAGAGAAGATGACCCCAGAAAGTGGGTCTCAGGCACCGACAAAAATCAAAGATAAACACCTACAGTATATACTAAGCCCTGCTTTGGACTGGAAATACTTTCTGCTCCCTGACTGACTGGACCAAGGGACAGATGGATTTGCCCACTTCTTATTTGCTGGGACTTGAAAGACCAGTGCTTTCAAACCCAGCTCTACCCTAAAACTTTTTTCATCCTGACATTAAGTAAAACTCATAGATCATATTCTCTCCTGGTTCCTTCTGTTTCACATCGGCTTTTTTCAGTGGACTTGCTGTATACAGCGAGACATCACCTACACAAAGATGACCATCTCCGAACAGCCACAGCATCGTACGTGTTTGTGGCACCAGGTCCTCCACAGCATTAGGAAGAGTCGCCATCTCCTTTTGTTCTTGCAAGAAACACAGGAGCACAGCACCGTCCCATGGACACAAGGACATGCTGCAGCCAGAGCCAGGATTTAAAGCTGGAAATCACTGTTTTTCAAGAGAAATCTAATGGGGATGATACAACCTTAATCTGGACGCCAATGTTTTATTACTGGGTCTCGAGAATAACCGGATTATTTGTTCCAGTTTTCTACCTGTAGTTTCCCTTCACTTGAAATTAATCCTGTTCATCACACCCACGGTGCTTATTTCCAGAGGGCTTCCGACCTCCACACCCCCACCCCTGTCTCACAGCTTCCCCCACTCTCCAGCCCCGCACCGAGACACTTTCACAGCCCCACGGCTCCACTTTCCTGCAGGGATCAGCCTCCCAGGTTAGGAGGAAAGGAGCAGAACCAAGAAAAT